TTTATTTCATTATATTTTTTATTTAAATTCATTTTCATTTTGTTTCATTTAATTTAAGCCATTTAATTAAGTCCTGTAAGCGTATCGGTAGAGTTCATTTGTTTGCTATTTTTTCAAACATTAATGGCTCTTCACTTTGAAAAAAACATTCGATCATTTATCTCAAAAAATGCCATTTTTCCTTGAAAATCAAAATATTTATTATATTTTTTTACGGTGTTTTATCAAAATAATATAATGATAATAATAATGGTTAATAATATTAATTAATTTTACATTTTCATGTTATTATACATATATATTTTTTAATTTTATATTAATTTATTTTATTTCATTTCATTTTATTTTATTTTATTTTATTTTATTTTATTTTATTTTATTTTATTTTATTTTATTTTAATTTATGTTTTTTATCATATATTTGATTTTATTATTGAGTTCATTTATTTTACGTTATTTTGTTAAAATAATATATTAATCATAATAATTAATAATTTTAACTAGTTTTGTCTTTTCATTTTTTTATATGATTTTTTTTTTTTAAATTGTTTTATTTTAATTAGTTTAACTATTTGATTTTATGGTACTTTATGTTTTTTCTCATGCTTTGTCGTGCTTTGTATTGTTTTAGTTTTTATTTTGGTTTTGTAATTATTTCTATTTCGTTATATTATATTCAATTTTTTTTTGTTATTTATTTTCATGTAATTTTTAATGTGATTTATATGTTTTAATTTTTTAAAATTTTCTTTTATTTATTTCATTTTATTTTACTCTTAAATTATTTTGTTTTATTGACATGTATATTTGTCCGTTTTCATTTCAAATAATTTAATTATGTTATATTCTATTACTTTATATTTCTGATGATATTTGATTACATTCAATATTATTTCATTTCATTTTTTTTTATTTAATTTTGTCTTTTATTTTTATTTAACTTTAATATATTATTGTTTATTTATTTAATATTTATTTTAAATTAATTTAATTAGTGTTTGCTTTTATTTTGTTTTATTCGTTTATTTTCCATTAATTTTTACAATGTTTATTATTTATTATTTCTAAGGTAATTTAATTAATTTAATTTTTTTTTATCAGTTTCTTGTTTTGTTATATTGATTTAAAATTGTTTAATATTGTTCAAATTTTTTTCTTTTGACTTACATAACTTATGTATGTAGTTATGAGTGATTACGACATCACTTGGAAAAACATTTGGCGACTATTAAAATCTCAGCTAATACCCGAATGACTTACTTAGTTAAGCTCACCAAAATGACCCATAAACGTTGCAATCCTAAACAACAATAAAAGGGTGAGATAGAAATTCAAAAAGGAAAAATCATAAGAACATAACATAATTTGCTGGAAGAAAATGAAATATGTAGTTGCTTACATACATAGTATCGGCAAAATCTGCGCTGGAAAAGAGGTCACGAACATATTGAGTAAATAACAAAGGAAGAAAAAGTCAGATAGAGTGAGTGAAAGTCGACCATGGAAAAATGAAAAAAGTAAAAAAGTCAATAGAACAACTTTATGACAAATTGTTGCTGCACGTGAAACGCATACAAAACCATAAATCATGCGTCCAAAGCAGCAGCACCAGGAGAAGATTTCTTCCTTCAGTGTTAGACAAGAGAGACAATTTTCTATACCAGTATATGCCAAATCGTTTTGGTGTCTGTTTTATATGATGGCAAATGACCTATTTGTTGGAGTTCAGATGAGTGGCGAGCGGTTGTCCACTCAATCTGGTTTATAGCCTTTTTTATTTCTGAAATGGTGTTATTACCCCTTTACGGTGGACAGAAGTTTTGTTTGGTCGTGTGTTACTCCCATTTTTATAGTTTTTTTATGGGCGTTAAACCGTTTTCGCTCCCAAATGTATGCTTCACATTTGTTGATCGATTTTTGGAATAGAAATCGCAATGATTTATTTTATTGGCTGGTTTTGATGGTGACCAAATGGTTATCTGTTTTCTTGTTTGCTTTTTTTTTTTTGATATTTTCGCTGTTGATTTATGGTACTCATAATAGGAAAGTTTTTGGGGTACGATTAGCGAATCTGAAATGTAATAAATAAGTTTTGGCTTCTAAACTTATAAGTAAAGTTTATCCTAGATATAGTGGTTCCACCTCCTCAAGTTGCTTTGGAGTTGCTGAATCGGTTTTCGGCGGATCTTCTAATCGGAATTGTGGTATGCGACCCGCGACCCCCAACAAATGGAGCGACCTTCACTCTGTTCTAAGCTTCCTCTGAACGACTGGTAGTTAGATGAGCTTTTATTAAATGCTAGTTGAAGTTATAAGCATTATCTATCTGAGGCTACTTTGACAAGGTAATATCGGGCGGGTTGAGCAACAACATTTTAGCACTAAAATTTTTGGACGCAGTAGCCGCCGCGTACAAGGGAGAAGCGCCCACTTCGTTGGAAAGCTTAGGTGGAGACTTGAAGTCTTCAACTGGTTTTTTCTACTATAAATTCGCAAGCGATGTCTACGCCCATAAAGAAAAAGATAAAACAGAAGTTACCGTCGGTGCTTTTAGAATGAATTCGTAGATAACTACTGGCTGTTCGTGCGGAATTCATGTTTTTGGATATTTTAGATGTAGTGCATAGACGCTTCTTAAAAGTGAAGGAAATTTTAAAACTTGTACGATTTGACCTCTCAAACCTCAGCTATTCAAAGCCTTTATGAGTTGAGAGACAATCATTTGCGCTGAAAAATGCTCCCAAGTAAGCAAAAAATTCCTATTTTTAAAGCTTCCCAGCTTCCGATAATATTTCTGATCTTGTAGAAGAAATATCGCATTGAGCTAGATCTTATGGAGATACAAATTTATGCAAAGCTAGAAATAACGCACTTTTCTAATTATGCTTTATATAAAGTTAACTACACATCGCTATAATAGTAATGGAGCTACTCGGTATACGGGACCTGTGGGACGGCATTGCAAACTCCCTACGTACAACTGCAACCGAAACTATTGGATTTCGTAAAGGTCGCAAAAACAGCTGATACGATAAGAACTGCAGTGTCGCAGTGGAGAGAAAACACAAAGCCTACCTCGTGACCTTGCGATCGACCACAACACGTGCGGGATGGGATAGATATCGAGAGGTGAAGAGAGAAAATGCATCTGCAGACAAAAACAAAAAAGAGGCCGAGATGCGTGAGTATGAAGACCTTGAGAAGCTGGCCGACAGGGTTAATGCTCTAAGATTCTATGAAAAGTTATGACGACTTATGGAAAGTTTGAAGACCGGAGCAGACTCTTGAGGGATGCCCAGAATATATTAAAATGGTGAACCCGAAGCTTCAATCAATGACGATGGAAAAGACGCTCCATTACCTGACCATGAAGAAGTTCAAATATTGTAGCAATCGCCCGCTTAAAAAACAACAAAGAGACGGGAGCTGATGACCTACCGGGAGAACTACGGCAACGTGCATGTATCAGCTACTTTGCAGAATATGGTCAGTCCGACAACTGAAATTTAAGTGTGCTCTGCTCAATCCATAAAAAGGTGACCCCACAGTCTGCGCCAATTACCGTGGGATAAGTCTCCTTAATATCGACTTTAAGGTTATATCAAGCTTATTATATGAGAGATTAAAACCAATCGTCAACAAACTGATTGGGCCCTATCAGTGTGGCTTCAGACCTGGTAAGTCAACCATTGACTAGATATTCACAATGCGACAAATTTTGGAAAAGACCCGTGAAAGGAGGATGGACACTCACCACCTCTTCATCGATTTTAAAGCCGCCTACGACAGCATGAATAGGAGGTGCCTTTACGCCGCTATGTCTTAATTTGGTATCCGCGTAAAACTTATATGGCTGTGTAAGCTGACGCTAGACAGCACCGTAAGCGCAGTCAGAATTGGGAAGGACCTCTCTGAGCCGATTGGTACCAAACGAGGTTTCAAAAAGGATGACTCTTTGTCATGTGATTTCTTCAATTTGATGCTAGAGAGAATAATAAAAGCTGTGGAGCTGAATAGAGAAGGTACAATCTTCTGTAAGAGTGTACAACTACTGGCGTACGTCTATGTTATTGACATTATCTGGCAGCGCCGCTAGTTCTGCTTTCTCCAGGCTTGATAAAGAAGCGAAGGGAATGGGTCTGTAGTGAACGAGGACAAAACGAAACATCTCTTGTCGTCTCTTGAAAAGTAAAGTCCTCTCTCGGCGAACGAAAACCAAACTCTGCAAGTTCCTCATTGTTCCCGTCCTGCTATATGCGGCGTTAGCCGTACATGGTTTAGTGGTCCGTATCCCGCATTCTTTAAGTGTGATTAGCTTACGCTAGATGGCGCAAGATATTTTGTTCCAGAGAAGAGAACGAGAGAAGTGTTGAACACTTAACTCAGGGTTTGAGCGCATAGCGGAGATGGACACCAGCAAAGAAGAGCAGTGAGCCGGCACAAACGGTCTTCAAACCAGGATTGGCAAAGATTCATCCATTATGAGCTGCTTCCCTATAGCAAATCGGACGGTTTGAAGGAAACAGTCGCTTAAATATGCCCAGTTTTGGCCAACAAGAGCCGAAATGTATTTAATTAAACAGATCGCACACATCGATACTGACTCGCCTGAAGTTGACTTGATGAGTTGTTAGTTGTTAGTGAAGAGTTGGTCTCAAGAAGCGCCTGCAAAAAACGATTGTACCAATTTTTCGTCAATAGGGATAAGGCTTTCCATAAGATAGGCTTCATGACATTACCTTCAAAATGCAAAAAGTCTTCCAGCAAAACAGTGCCTATTTTACATCTTAAAGCCTTTAATTTAAGTGCAAAAATAGTGGACTTTTTACTAGATCTAATAGTAATGCGTTTTTTATTTTTTGTGTCGTCTCATCAGAAAGCAAGATTTACTTACCACAGTTATGGGTCGACTTCAGATATATTTATGTTTTTATTCGATTAGAAGAAATAAAATATAGTTTCATAGGGTTTTTTGAATTTTTGTTGTTTTTATTAATTTATTTATTGTTTTCATGTATCCTATTACAGTTGGAAGATTAAATTGTTTCTAAATTAATTACTTCACCAATTTTTTCTATTATTGGTTGACTTAAATAATTTTTTCATTTACATTATATGTTTATTTATATATATGTATCTAACTGTACTGTAAATTTGGCTTCTTATCTTTTTACTCACAAATTGTTTATTTTGTAATATACTCATATTGCGGTAAAGATTAAACGTTTTATTATATTAGATACTATACAACTGCCTATCACTAACGTATTTCCTTCTTCTAAAGTCTATACTTACATCAAAGCGCGGCCCTTAAATAAAATACCTCTCCTTATTTCTACAGACTCGTAACTTCTTTTCAATTCAAATTTACACTAATCTTTGAAGTTGTCTTATTTTATTTGGAATTGTAATCTTCTTCCTTTATTTTTAAAACGATTTTTCTCTTCCTTTTATATAATTTTTTTTATTTTTGACTTTTAAGACTATCAACACCTTATCTGCAACCGCTTAATTATTGTTGTTGTTTTGTTTTCGACATTTATTGAAATGGTGCATATTGTCGCTGAAACATCGATTGTCACCACAAATCGAATTTGCGGCTAGTCGCCGACGAAGACGACGACGACACACCCACCGCTTTTGCGCCCCTTTTACTCCTGCCATTTTTGTTGTTGAACAGCGTGCTGTTACTACTGCGCCATTGCTGCAGCTTTGTTGCAGCCGTTGTTGTTGTTGCTGACTGGTTGCCGCACGCCTTGGCACCATGAATCGCTGTGCGCGCATTCTGCGCCGCCTGCTTGCCGCCGCCCAGCGTTAAACTCTCAGTTTCATGCACAGTTGTATCAGTCTCGCGCTCAACCTCGTGCTGATATGCTGACGCTGCGGTCAACAACTCCATCGGTAACATGTCACAGTGTATCGCATCGCTAGCGCTCAACTGCGCGCACTCTGCGGCCATTTCCACGTAGAATGTATCGTCCGCATCCAGCATGCCCGCCGCCGCTGCCGCTGAGCAGGATGAATGCGTGCTGCTGAGACTGCTGCTGCTGTGACGTGAAATATCCGCGCTGCCACCACTGGCGCTGCTTGCAGTACTACCATTACGGCGCGCCGATTTCGCATAAGGTTGAACGTCATAATAGCTGCGTGTTATGCGTGCTGCTGCCTCCGCTTCGACTGCGGATGTCTTTTGCAATTCGCGTACATGCAAATTGTGCAGCGGTGAGCTGTAGTCTGCACGCGAACGTGTGCCGTGATGCCAGCGTGGCGGCGCAGATTGTTGTTGTTGCTGTTGCTGCTGTTGACCGGCACCATTGTTGTGATACTGTAAGAAACTGTGCACGTCATCATCGCCAGCAGCGCTATTGAATTGACGTTGCAAATGTGGCCGCTGTTGATGGGATAATAGATGACGTCGCCATGGCAACACATCGCAGCGATAGACATGCATTAGACCGACCAAGAGCAAGGCGAGTAGCGAGAAAGATAGTAGTATGACGAGCGCGGGGTGTGCGCTGCTGGCATCTACGTGACGTGTGCCCAACCACTTTTGCGTTTGTGTCGTGTGCAGCGCGGCGTGCTCTTGCAGTTGCAGTGGTGAATAGTCGGCGCTGTGCTGATTGCTGATCGAGTGCTGTGCTTTAGGCGCATCGGGTGCGTGTTCAGTATCGGCGTTTGCTTGGGATAGTGTGGACAACAAATGTGCGTGGTTATTTCGGTCTCTTATGATTGGTGTATTTACGGTGCTGTGCTTGTGTTGCGGTTGTAATAGCGCCGCTGCCTCCTCGCCATTGTTCTGCCACTCGCTGTCGGCCTTTAGTAATTTGCTTGTCAGTGCATCTCGCGCGTCGTTATTTCGCGCTTCTTTGTGCGCGCCTTGCATCACCTCATTCTCGCGCGGCGTATTCAGCGTGTGGTGGTGCGGCATTTGTGTTTGTTGCGTATGTTTTGTTTGTATTGTCATTTTCTTCATAATCAACGTTGGCTTGCGTCTGCCACTGTTGCCGCCGCCGGCAATGTCGTCATGCTTTCTCATCACCCCCTTAGGTGTTAGCATGTTTTCACCGTTTCGCAAGCCTACGCCGGTCGTTGGCTTGAGTTGTGCCTTGTTTGCGACGTCCGTTGTGGTTTCGGTGCTACTTTCTACTGCTGCTGTTTTCATATTGGCGCTCAATTTGCCTTGCTCCTCATCGTTCAGCTTTACATTTCTATTTATTGCTTCCACTGCCTGTATTTGGTTGACAAAGGTATGCGACTGTGCTTCGTCCTCCCTCTCCCCATCGGTGCGATGGCCTGATTTCGTAGTTTGCTTTTCGGCCAAACTTTTAGTTGTCTTCGTCGTTGGTTTGGCTATTGCAATTGTTGTTGTTGTTTTTGCAGTTACTGTCACTTGCCGTAGCGCGTCTGCCGCCTCCACCAGAATATTGTCGCCGCGATGCATGAGCAATGGAGTTCCAATTAAATGTCGATCTCGTATGTGCAGCTGCAGAGGCTCGTGCTTGTGTGGCGTTGGTGTTGATGATGGGGTCGTCGCAGGGATGTGTTCACTTTCTGCTGTTGTTGTATCACTACAAAGTGTATGCTCGGTGATCCTTACATCTTCCATCGTCTGCTTTGTCTGCCCGCCCCTTGTTTCCAACTCGTGCTCCGGCTCTTGGCGACGGCCGAAATTGTCGCTTGGAGACGGGTTGGCTCGTTTAAAGTTATGTTGCTGCCAAAAGTGGGTTACAGCCTTTGGCTTAGTTGCCACCTGCTCCAAGCTCTCAGCTGCCGCTGCTTTTGTTTCCGCTGCTCCTTTCGCTTCGTGTTCCTTCGTAGTGGCAGGGTTGTGTTGCTTGCTTGCCTTCTCTTCATGACCATCAGTCTTGTTGTTGTTTTGTTTTATATTGATATCTACTTTCGGTTGGGGCGGCGAGTTCTTTGCTATAATTGCTGTCGTGGAGAGTTGTTGCATATTTTTTGGCGTTGTTGTTATTATTTCGTCAAAAACTTTCGGTATTTTCGTCTCGTTTATTTTATTTTCATGCAGCTGTTGATCCTTAAGTGGTGGTTCGTGGCTTCCCGCCCCAAATATGGTCGTTTCTTCGACATTTCTCGACTTTGTTGTTGCAACATATTGTGCGGATACCGCTGGTGGCGCCAAGTGACTGCTAGAGCTAGCGGGTGCTCCCTTCATTTGTAAATATTTAGCACTTGCTGGGAGTAGTATGGGGTCCGTTATTGGCTTTCGTGTTGTTTTTGCTGATGAAAACGTTATTGCGACTGTTGTTGTTGTTGTTGTTAACGTGGCATTGCTGCCGGTTGGTGAAATTTTCTCTGCCTTTGTTGTTGCTGTGCTGGTGTTTCTCGACATGTTGAGCCTCGTTGTTGCTTCCGTAGTTGTTTTTGTCATCGTTGGTGTTGCTGTATGTTGTTGCTGATCCCTTTGATTTTGCGACGGTGTTGTAAGCATCTCAAATTCTATTGGATTTGTTTTTGTCGTTGCTACATTAGTAACGATTTGTGTTGTTGTTGTTGTTGTTTTCCCTTCTTTATTCAGTTGCTCTTTCATATCCTCTTTTGCAAGCATAGTGACAGGCATATATGTTGTTGTTGTTCTTGTTGCATTCTCATTTTTTGCTGCCGCAGTTTCCGTGCTCATCATGTTGCTGCTGTTTATAGCTGATGTCGTTGGTTTTGTTGGTGAAATTTGTTGCCTCAATAAATTAGCCGTGGCAACAGTTGTAAGTTGCCACAAAGTTTTTGGGCTTGCTGAGGTTGCGTTAATGTTGTTGTTGTTGTCGTTCTCGCTGATGTCCAATTCCATTATTGGTGAGGGAGCCGTTATTGTTGCAAACATTTTACTTCGCTGACTTGCGGTAGGCAAGGCTGATGGAATTTTTTCGGTTATTGTTGTTGTTGCTGTTGTCGCTATGCCAGCACCCGCTTTGTAATCGAAACCGACTGCTCTGTTTGTATTTGTTGTTGTTGTTGTTGTTATTATTATTCCCGCTGAACTTTCTGCCGTAAAGTTCTTTTGATTAAACTTGAAAAGTTTTGTCTCAGCTCTCAAGCTCATCTTGCCATCTTTCTTTGACTTCCTCGTCCATGAGCCATTGCCCTGCAATGCCTTGGCACGCTCTGCTTCCAAATTTTTTTGCTTCACCCCGACGGTTTCTTGTTGTTGCGCTTTCAAGGCTGGTGCTTCCGCATGTAGTAGATCTTCGCTTTTTAAATTGAATGCGACTACATCACCTCCGTACGTCCTTACGCGCTCTGCCTTCGCCATGTTCTCCACTGCTGTCTGTTCGCTGCTATCTGTATCGAACTCGACAGCACAAGTGGGTGGCGCTGCCGTGAATGCCACGCTTGCACTCTCTGCCATCTCCTTCACGCCCCCATCTGCCGTCATTTGTCTATCTGCGTCGCAATTACTCCTAAACTTTTCGAAAAAATTGTGCATTCGCACAAACTTTTGTTTTAATTCGATATCTGCGGCTGTGGCTGTGTCTGCGGACGTCACGGACAACCCTTCTCCGTCATCATCCACCATCAGCTGTTGACCCAATTTATCTACTGCTGCAGCCGATGTAATTTTTGAAATTATTTGCTCACCGCCGCCAACGCGATTATCACCCACCTCTTCCACCGCTACACTAAAATCGTCCATAACACCATTACCCTCAATAACGTCCAAAGCAGGACGGCTGCCGCCGCGCTCTACAGCTCGACACGGACTCGCCCACTCTGCAATACTCAGCAAATCGCTGCATTTAATTGGGTTCTCATCGAGCAGCAGGTCACGCAAACGCGGCAGTGTGTGCACCATGGCTTGGCTGACGCCACGCAAACCGGCTGAGCGCAAATTGAGTGTCAGCAGTTTGGGTAGCGGTAGCGCGGGCAAATATAGTAATTTATTGCCCGAGAGATCGAGTGTTTGTAGATTATTGAGTCCTTGGAAACTTTGTGCTTGTATGTCCATAATCTCGTTGTTATGCAGGAATAGATGCTCCACTGAGGTGGGTAAGCTGCTGGGCACTTTGTGCAAGCGATTGTGGTCTAGAAAAAGTGTTTCGAGTATCTCCAGGCGGCCAAGTGCATCGTCTTCGATGTCTTCAATGCGACTGTGAGAAAGGTCGAGGTATTGCAGCAGCGGATAGCTATCCAAGTCACCACAATTGATAATCTGCGAAAAGCAAGGAGTAGAGAGAAATATAGTTATTATCCAGCAGAGCATTGACTGTGGCTTAGGCTAAATATATTTAATTGAATTTAATTAGATCGAAAGGGAGTGGCTGCAAGTTAAATGAAGAGCAATCCATAGTAATAAAAAATCAATTTTAGTTTACGCTGGGGATGGCACTATGTTACAATTATATTATATTATTTATGTTAATAATAAATAAATATTTATTTAATATTTAGGAGGCATTTCATTATAAAATAGATTTTTTATATAAATGGAATTTAATTCCAGTATTAACTCCTGTGGGTTTTTATAGGAGCTTGCGCTTATTAAGCGAAAAAAGGAACTCACACCAAAAAACTTCCCGAAAGAGTGCTTAGGCCAAGATTTGGAAGTAGCTATCACCAGCGCGATTCGGCTCTCACAAAAGCAAATGGTTTTATAATAAGCGTAGAAGAGGTTCAATTTATTCACTTTCTTACTTACTTAGCTAGCATAGACAACGCTTACGCGATTATAGCCGAACTAACAACAATGCGCCATTCGTTTCTTCTTTTCGCTGTTTGGTGCCAATTGGAAATGCCAAGTACAACCAGGTCGTACTCTACCAGATTTGTCCAACATAGGGAGGGTCTTCCTCTTCCTCTGCTGCCACTGGCGGTTACTGCATCGAAAACTTTCAAAGCTGGAGTTTTTGTGTCCATGCGGTCCACATGTTCTAGCCACCATAGCCGCTGTCTCTTTATTTGCTGAACTATTCAATGTCGCCATATATCTCATACAGCTCATCGTTCCATCGTCTGCGATATTCGCCGTTGCCAATGCGCAAAGGACCATAAATCGTCGCAAAACTTTTTTCTCGAAGACTCCCTAAGCCGACTCATGAGCTATTGATATGGGCGACTCTTCTCCGCCATATAGTAGGACGGGTGTGATGATTGAATTTGGTCTGCATTCGTCGAGAGATAGGAAATTTAGCGGTTTTTATATTCCCAGATTTTGTACTTTAATAATTAATTAATTTCAAGATCAAATTCCATAAAAAGTGTTTATTATTTTTATCTAAATGAGATGGGCTCTCGGCATGGAGTGCCACAGGACATGTATAAATTTTTGTAAAAATCGCTTAGCCTTTCGGAGTAAACAAACAAATTGAATTGAAAAAGAAGGAGGACTAGATTCCGATTAAATGCTGAAAAAGGCCGCTTTTTGTGTTAGTTAAGGTTTAAATATTTATAAGAGGAAGAGATCACTTAACTACCCCACAATGCGTTAAAATTGTAAACATTTATTTAAAATAATGGGGACTCAAACGTAACGACTACTCAATCGGTAAAATTGTTAAGAAACTTGAAGAGACTGAATCGATTACTGTTATGAGTAAGGTATGTGCATCATCGGTTTGCTCGGTCCACCTCAAATATCGCTACTGAAAATGAAGGTATATCCGCACGGCCGAATGTGTTTCTTTGTTCCCAGGAACTCGGACTTTTTTACGGCCCACATATATCCCTATAAAGTCCACTTCACAAAAAAACTGCAGCCAGCTGACCATTCAAAAAGCCATACATACGTCGTTAAAATGCAATTTAAAAAAAAAAATTTCAGCAGCGCGGCACATTTCTCTCTCGATGCTTAAATAAGCTGAATAGTCGCAATAAAGGATCTGTGTGTGAGTGTAAATGAGAAAATCTGTTCACCCGCTTTACCACTTAACTGTCTACAGTCAAGCGTGGTAATCAATGACTGCTTGAATGAATGAATGATTGAATGAATGAGCTAGGGCACCATCCTAGTATGAGCGACGCTTGCAAACAGAGCGGCTTTGCCCCGTCTACCTTGCAGGCATATATAATTCCATTTAATTGGTATAAAGATAATAACGATAAAGCTGAAACGCAGGCAAACACGCTCGCCTAATACCGGCAAACAAACATACAAATGCATATAAGTATGTAAATACTAATAAGAGAATATGTACAAATAAATATGCTCATATACACATGGGAGCGGAGAAATAAGTAACGTAAACACAAAAAAGCTGTGAAAACAAAAACAACGCTCTCAAGGATAATCGTGCAATCCCTGACAGCAAAAACAATGGATAGCTCATGCTGCCGACGGCATTTCGAATATGAGAATGAGTGTTGTTACGAAAACAAAAGTCTACTTTTAGGCGCTGTTTGTTTTGTGTCCCCGCTGTGAGTTGAAGGATAGTAGAGGTAGTGATAGCTGACGGTTGTAGGCGAGCTCAAAGCATAATGTATACCTGTGTGGAAGAGAGTGTGAAACACAGTCGGCCGTCTGTCAGACTTTGCCGGGAGCAGTGCTCTTTTCGACTTTGATGATATTGCCTTTACTTCACTTTCCAAATGTTATGCCGGCTATGCTGTATTTATGCTGGTTTGTCGCTTTTAGTGCAGTGCAGTGATTTTTTTCTTCGTCTGTATTGTTTATATTCTGTCGTATGTGCGGTTGGAGGCAATATTTCAAGAGTATCTACATTAGGCCGAGCCTCAATTCACTCCTTTGTATATTTCAGAGGATTTTTAGGTGGGTACTCGCCTGTAGTAAGACTATTTTATTATTCAGTATTCCGAAGTAGTTCGGAGCCTTCTTAATATTTGCTTATAAACAAATATTGAACAATAATTAAAAAAAATTGAAATAATTTTTGATTTTAAAATTTATTTTCATAAAAATAACCAATTCATTATGTTGTTGCCCGGCAAACAGTAAAATTGAAGCTAAATAGCGTTATCTGCCAACACTGTCAAGCAGCTTACAACATATTAGTTATTCATGATTGAAACATCTTAAAAGAGGAGGTTGATGTAAACAATTCTAAGTTATTTTCTAACTTTCTAACTTTTTGGCAAATTTACGTCTGATTATACGAGGGATAATTCTATCGGGGTTGTTTAGGGAAGTTCAGATTTCAGCAAACTCCAACTAAATACCACTTCATGGTGAAGCAGTAAAATAACGCTCTCATCAAGGAAGAAAGGTGAGAGTTACAAATTTTAAAAGAAGAAAAACGTGTTTTATTTTTAAGAGTGTGAGAAATAGAATTTCTACCCAAGAGTAACAAAACTCAAAAAATACCTCGCGTTTTTAGTACATTTAAACCGCATTCTGATAGTTACAGCTTCACCACTTTCAAAATTGACTTTGATTTTATGTAAAAAGGCTCACCTTAATATTTGTCAAGACATAATCTGCGAATGTTTCCATTAATATGATGATGCATTCATTTATTTTTTATTATTTTCAGACCAGCTTTGAAGTGCCCTGACCCAGCCATATGTTCTCAGATATTATACTTTATTTTGGTATAAAAAACATTTTTTCGCCGTTAATTTAATTAGATTTCTAGACAAAAATGTTACATATTAATTTGCTCGATGGCGAAACGCTATTTATATAATGAAAGTGAGTAATTTTAAAATTAAAGAGGGAAAGATCCTGACCCAAAGAGATAGTCCACTTTTTTGATAAAACTGGAAACATGGTTGGTTAATTGGTTGACTCTCTTATTAAGCTTACAAGAGGAGAGGAGAGAGGAGTTTTGGGTAGGAGACGTTGCCAATGCGAAAAAGAACCAAAAATCGTTCGCAAAACTTTTCTACCCAAGATTCCCAAAGCCTACTCATCGGCTGTTGACATCGTCCACGCCTCTACGCCATATAGTACTACAGATATTATATAATGAGCGCCTTGTAGAATTTGGTATGCGAGTCGTTCGGTACAAAACAAGGTTTCAGACAGGGTGACTCTTTGTCGTGTGACTTTTTAAACTTATTCCTAGAGAGAATAATAAGAGCTGTAGGACTGAATAGAGAAGATACTATCTTCTCTAAGAGTGTACAACTACTGGCGTACGCCTATATTATTGACAATATCTGCCTCAACAACAGCGCCGTTGGTTCTGCTTTTTCAAGGCTTGATAAAGAAGCGAGGCGAATAGGTCTGGTAATGAACGAGGACAACACGAAATATCTCCTGTCATCAAACAAACAGTCTTCGCATTCGCGATTTGGCTTCCACGTCACTGTTGACAGTCATAACTTTGAAGTCATAGATAACTTCGTTTATCTTGGAACCGGTATTAACACCAATAACAATTATAGCCTTGATATCCAACAGGAGCTACTTTGGACTGAAAAGGCAATTGAAAAGTAAAGTCCTCACCCGACGAACGAAAAAAAAAAGAAAAACTCATTTAAATGCTAAAGAATTATTGACAAATTTTATTTAAAATTGAAAACATGTACGTACTCGTAGTAGAGCAACGAGCGAGAACTGAGCTGCTCCCACTGCTCGAAAACCGAGTGGCTAGAGCTCCACTTCATATAAAAAAGGAAGCATTTAAAAAGTTTCGGAATAAAAGCTTAAGATTGAGCTGTCATATTTTTCAATCTCCCTCTCCCAGACAACAAAATAAATAACATTATTATGTTTATTAAATACGAAAATAAACGACATGGCTTTAATTACTTGTTCTGACGTAAAGCTGAAACGGGCAATCTGCATCTGTGTAAGCTCTTCACTTAGTTTTCTTCTTGCAAAGTATCTTTCACCTTGCCGCCGCTGTGTGTGCCATCCTTTTTTGCTTTTTCCTGATTTTATATGCTTTCACTCTTCTTTCAATCAGTTTCTTCATATTATCGCTCGTCATCTTTGTTTCTTTGCTCCTTTGTTTGTGTATTCTACTTTTTTTCTTTGCCTTGCTTGAGACTCATTAAATCTCAACTGCTTGACTTAACTTGACTCAGCCCACTTGCTTGCTCATACTTCCATCGTGTTCTTTGTATTGACTTTGGGTAAACAGTTAAAGCCATCATCGGCGCCATGTCTACCGAGCCCGTGTGATGGACGAACTCTTCTTCGCTTTTTTACATTCTCTATTTTCGTGAGCAATGCTGTCTGTGTGTGTGTATGTATGTGTGTACTACAGTTTACTATAAAATTTAGCGTAAAAAAATAATGAGCAACATAATGCTTTGTTTAGCTTTTTGAGTCATAAAAGATATACAACGAGCAATTATTTCGCGTTTAACTCGATTGCTATTATGTATTAAATAATGATGCCTCAGCGATTTAATGCTTTTTTAGCAGCATTTAGGCTAAGTGCGACCAAGCGGAAGAGCAAATAATAAATCGGGGCAATTTTAGATTTAGCGCGGTAATTATTTCCATGTTTAATTAAGTTTTATATATTTCTTTAAAAAAAAAAATTAAATAAAATAAACTAAAATAAAACATATAAAATAAAATAAAATAAAATAAAATAAAATAAAATAAAATAAAATAAAATAAAATAAAATAAAATAAAATAAAATAAAATAAAATAAAATAAAATAAAATAAAATAAAATAAAATAAAATAAAATAAAATAAAATAAAATAAAATAAAATAAAATAAAATAAAATAAAATAAAATAAAATAAAATAAAATAAAATAAAATAAAATAAAATAAAATAAAATAAAATAAAATAAAATAAAATAAAATAAAATAAAATAAAATAAAATAAAATAAAATAAAATAAAATAAAATAAAATAAAATAAAATAAAATAAAATAAAATAAAATAAAATAAAATAAAATAAAATAAAATAAAATAAAATAAAATAAAATAAAATAAAATAAAATAAAATAAAATAAAATAAAATAAAATAAAATAAAATAAAATAAAATAAAATAAAATAAAATAAAATAAAATAAAATAAAATAAAATAAAATAAAATAAAATAAAATAAAATAAAATAAAATAAAATAAAATAAAATAAAATAAAATAAAATAAAATAAAATAAAATAAAATAAAATAAAATAAAATAAAATAAAATAAAATAAAATAAAATAAAATAAAATAAAATAAAATAAAATAAAATAAAATAAAATAAAATAAAATAAAATAAAATAAAATAAAATAAAATAAAATAAAATAAAATAAAATAAAATAAAATAAAATAAAATAAAATAAAATAAAATAAAATAAAATAAGTAAATAAAAGAACAAGCAAAAAAATTATTATAAATAATAATATAAAATGAATTAAAAAATAAAAAATAAATAAAATGAGCTTAGAAAAAAGCAAAATGTTGAAGTCTCAGGCACAATCGACGGTATCGATTGCATCTAAAATTGACAAAATGATGTTATTTTGGCCACACTTGTATTCGTGAGTTTTACACACAGATATATCACAGCTTTATACGTTTCACTCTATTACGCTTGTCAATAAATGTATACCAAACTTGTTAAAAAAACCATATATATTCTATGTACGTGTGTGTGTGCCCGTCAAACTTTGTTGCCTGCTACTTATCTCAAAATTTTCATCTCATATTCGCTGTTGTGGCCTCAATTTGTTATTTGCGAATATTTTCTGATGCTCTCCCTGCTTTCGGGTTTTATTCTCCTCTCCAATACGATATTGCATATGTGTGTGTTAACATGCTGTTAATTGCTGTAAAAGACCGAAATTGTGCGCTCCACTGGTTATAACACACACATAAACGAAAAAAGGAAGCTTTTGATGGATGTGCCATCATTTACACAGTTATTCAGTCAGCCATTCGTTCATTTATTCAAAAAATCGATTGTGCGTAAATTCTCAAATTTTTTTCACGCACATTTTTGATTTAGTGGTGTGAGCTCTCCTTTTTTTCGGCAGATATTTAACGGAAATTTTCATGGGAATATAATAGCGGAAAAAAATTGTTGCCCGACACTGTATTCGACGATACAGCTGTGCTGCCAAAATCAGGCATGTCAGGCCATTCAAACTTGGGTTTTCCTCCACAACGCATTTTGCTGCGCTAGGTGGTGACGCTGATGAAATCAAAGTAAAAAGTTTGATTTTATCATCAAAGTATGTACAGATATACATACGTGTTGGTATATATATGTATGTTTGCAATATAAGCTGGTTTTTAGAGTGTCCTTAAATTTTTTTCTGAATTTAATTTTCTTTTTGCATTCATTGGATTTTTGACAGCGAGAGTACTTGTTCATATTCTTGTTGGCGATGTTGTGGTAATTGAATCATTGAATGTAGCGTGTAACGAGTTTCAATGCTTGATCGCGTAAACTAAAAAAAAGTCAAAAAATGCCGTTTAAATTTTTAATGATTTGTGAAAATTATTTTTTGCACCAAATAGAAAATGAATGAAAATTACTCAATAGTATAAGTGAATAATTCCAAAAAAATATATCTAGCTCAGAGACTGTTTACTCCGGAACCACTCAGTTCATTTTTCGCAAATTTCGCAGAGTTTTCTATAAAAAGTGAATATTTCTTAAAATGTTGCAATCTGTCTTGAATTGCAAGATATTTGGTGTAAGGTACTTGAGAAAAGGTAGTTCAAAAAACTTCCATCAAAACTATTTCTAACAGGGTTGCCACCTTCGTAAAAATATATGATTAGTAATAAACATACAATTTACAATAACTCACCTCAAACCCTACAGTTTGAGTAAGAAAACAATGTTTTAGAAAACTCATTGAACAACCCCTGTTTTGGAATAGAGTTGCCAACTGTTGAAAATAAAATGATATAATGCATGCATTAATATATAAAATATTAGATTCGGACGATAAAAGAAGGTATTTAAGATAAGTACTTAAACATTTTTATTACTACAATAGAGTTGCCACCTTCTTAGAATATTATAAAAAAGTAAAAAATATAATTTTTCTTAACAAATGAGAAAGGCTTCGGAAATTTTAAGTCAAAAGAATTTTAAAATACGGCTGTCACATATTTAAGAAAAAAATACCGTAATGAAGTAAAGTGCTTACATTTGAAATTGCATCATTGGATAGATATAAAAATAAAATAATTATTGAGGTTTCTTTTAGTCAAGGCCAACTATCACTTTCCAACTAATATTTTTTAGAAATGGTTCTGTTATAAGGCTATAAACTTTCAACTTTCTCCAAACGCCCGAGCTGCTCTTACGATTCGGTGTGCCTAATTAAAAATAGAGAGGTGTTCACAGGTTTAAGACGGCTTCGAACAAATGATGGGTTTTTATGAGGAGTTTTTTATTTCAAGGCAGAAATACAAAAGCAAAACCTAGGGTTTTCTTCTGACCGGGATACGAACTAACGGTTTAGTGCACGGTAGCAGACACTTCATCCCACTTGACCAAAGCGAGTGGAGATAGCTCCGCTTCAAGGTGGCAGTTTAGGTCCCTAGACACAGAGACAAGACAGGAAATTGTGAGGCCGATGAGCTAACTAAAAGGACAAAAGTTCTAAATTCTGCACACGTTATAGACACACGGACTTATCACTTTCCTTGGCAAAGCCCCCATTAAGATTGCCTTCACCACTAGGACCGCCAATAATAGATATCGGGGTGAAATTGTTGCAATGTAACACGAAGGATGTGCTCATTGATCAGAGAAAAAAGAGCCAAGTCTCTAATCCAGCATAACAATCGACGTAAGATGTGGCCAGTGTATAATGGGAAGGAACGGTAGGAGGATGTCCAACTTCTCTAATGGCTTCTATCCCAGCTGCAAAGACACTGAGGCTAGATCAGTATTTTCTGCTACAGTCCCAACTAGCGGTTTAGTATATATCCTATGACCTTACCACCCAAACAGTCGGTAAAACTAAATTTTTTTGAATTAACTTGAAGAATATTTAACTTTTCATTCTCCTACACTCACCTTCAGCCAATTGTCCGTCAGCTTAAGAGTTCGCACAGATAGAGCCAACGCTGCTGGTATTTGACACAAGCCCGTGCCACTTGCATCCAATTCTTTCAAGCTCCATGAGGCTACAAATTCTTGCATTGCTGCACCCACTTCTGGATTATAAGCTATGGAGAGCCGCACCAAATCGGGTATACCCTGCAGAGCGCGTATAGCCTCGCCACGCAACTGATTATGCGACAAGTCTAGATATTGCAGATTCGGCAAAGCCAAAAATGTTTCATAGTCAATATCGCTGATGTTGTTGTAACTCAAGAGCAACGTATTCAAACTGAGCAAATTGTAGAAGGTCTCGCGATAAATGGTGCCAATGCGGTTATGCGCTAAATTGAGATGTTTTAGATTATGCATGCGCTGCGGAAAGAACGCGGTCTCAAGTTCGCTAATACCATTACAAGAAAGATCGAGTGTTTCGAGCGCCGTCAGCATGGAGAGATTAAGTTGTGCTAATTGTGTGATTTCATTGCCGCTCAGATGTAATTCACGTAGCACTGAACTACGCACATCCGAGGCTTGTGCGATTTGATTGTCATTCAGATTGAGCGTTGTGATTGTATGCTCATTTTGGGTGATTGGTAAAGCAGTGAGTGAATTATTTGATAGATTCACCAGTTGCAGTGACGTGAATGCACTGAGATTGACTCTTTGCAGTTGATTGTTACTCAGATCCAGGTTATATATCGTGCTGTGATTGCCTTGGTAATCGTGCGCAGCATCGTATGTACGCAGTTGAGCGTTCGACTGCTTCAGCGTATGTGGTAAGCCTTGTTGTTTTGCAGCTGGCACTACTACCGGTGCCGCTTTCGTCATTTCGGGCACGTCAGCCGCACGTCGCACAACTTCATGACTCGGTTGATATGAGCGTTTCTGATAGTATCGATACTCCGCATCCTCGCGCCTATAGATTGGTTCGTTTTCATCGCGCAATATCCGATGTATGGTCTCGTACGAGAGACGCTTTAGTTCGCTGCGATATAATTTGAAATGATCTTCAGGCTCGTCGGCCGTTGGTTGGTGACTCGCGGCTACTTCCGCTTGCGCGGGTTTTTGCGGTTGCAGCAGCAGCTCCTCGGCGTCGTTGATTATCCACTTAAGCTGTGTGCCCATTTTAGCTGCCGGTAAGCTCTCCGTCGTCTTAAGAAGCGTAATGCTTACGAGTAGAGAGAGCAAAACATGCGCGAATCGCACTTTGCTTGCCAGTGATGTCAACACGCACGGCGTGATGAAGAGTTTTCGCCGCGTCTTACTGCTGGCGTACATTTTGTTGGGTTTTAAAACTTTATGTGCTCTACCGTTTGCTAACTTTTAAGTTTTCTGCCGGTACTATTTATTTATTTACTTTCACTTTTATTTTGAAATAACTTTTGTTGTTCAATAAACTGAAAGTTTGAGCAGTTTTAAACAGAAATATTAAAAAGAAACTTTTTACACTCTTGTGCACATATGTATCTGTTTTAAAATTCAGTATTTTGAAAAATTGTATTAATTAAATTATTGCCTGATTCAGTTGGCATGCTCTTTGGTTGGAGCTCGTTAACTTTATTTATTTTTAAAAGTTTGATACTTCTTTTCGATTATTTCATGATCGCACGTCTATAAGTCTGCACAAACTATTTTGCACAACTTTTAGTTTGGGTTTATTTGACACATTGGACATTTTGTCATGCAGCCTTCTTCGCTTCAAATAGAAATCTATGGGCGCCCAATTTACACCGAAATTTTTTTTGTATTTTAAGATTTCTTAAGCTCAAATATCAATAACTTTTTGTTTAAAACTCTTGGGGCCACTTTACCTAAAACTATGCTTCATTCTTTTACATTTCATCACACATTTGGAAATTCGTAAAATACATAGGTTCCGAAAAAATTTGTTTCGTTCTCCGTTTTTCGTTCGGCCTTACCGATTGCCTTCTTTTATTTAAATTTTTTTATTTTTACACTTTACTTTTTACTTTACTTTTTCATTTATTTGCACTGGTGAATTCCGACATGTCCATTGACGTTGAAATTTTGTCACGTTTTGCTGTGCTTAAATATTTAAAATGGACTTAATTTTATTTAAACTACCTTTAACGGCGTATTGTTTATATTTTTTTTCTGCATTCCCAATATTTATTTATACTAATCTTTTTTTTGAGAAAATTCCTTTCGTTTCAGCACTTGGCATTTTTATATTTTCACTTCCACTTAGAAATTCGTTTTTTCTGGTATTTTTTTATTTTCCTTTTTTTTGGCTTGCCTATCTTCACTCTCCACAACTTCAACGCTTTTCTTTTCAGGCCGTGCAGTCACCCTTCGCGGCTAACAATTGATTTAGGTCACTTCGTGTGGAAATGTGGACGACACGAGTTGCCATTTAAAGTCTACTTTTGGGCGCGCGCACTCACGTCTAATTTCGCTGCCGCCATTGAAGTCTATTTAAATTTCATTTGCTTTCGCCGATTTCGTGCTTATTATTATGCAGCAGCTGTGTGTTGTCCTTGTTGTTGGTATTGTTGCTTTTGCTGCTGCTGCTGCCGGTTTCCTAAGTTTTTCTCCCACTCTATATATTTTTCACTTACTCCATTTGTTAATTTGTTTATGTCAAACGCTCGTAAAAATGCGCCAAATTTGCGCCGTAAAAAAGTTACCAGCTCAAAGAATAGAGTGGAAAACAAAAATATATTCACGCCTAAATGTATGCCTTGTTAAATTGCGTTCTGTTGCTGTTACTGTCTGTTTGACGCTTGATTACATTTAAAGAATGTCAAGTGTCTTGTTACTGGTTTTTAATGCTGCTTGTTATCTGGTAAACATCTATTGTTGTTTTTCTTGTTTTTATAAATGTTGCTGCTATTCGTTCTGGCGTTTTGGCTGATATAAAACAGCATTTTCATTACGTTGTGTTTTACTATCTACTCTCCTCGTCATTTGCCCAGTTTTATGTGCCAGCCCAAAAGGGTGATTCGATTGTTGTTGCTCAAAGTTTTTACGGCTGATATGCAACTACAGTTATGCTCTGAAAAGAAATGTAAAATAAATTGTTGTAATTAGTAGCTTCAGTAGCGGTGGTGCTAAGTGGAGGAGTGAAAAAGTTCTGCATGCGAAAAAATATATGAAAATACACCTGCCGGCTGTGTGTTGTAGAAATTAAAAGTTAAATTAACGTTGCAACTTTTTACGAACGAGTTTGTTATTTTTCGACCTCCTTTTATAGACTCCCTTGTAGATATTTTCATTTTTTCGAAATTGTATGGTATTTTTCGCATTTAATTTTTTAATTTTTTTTTGTGCTCATTTATAATGGTCTTCACCAACTCGAGAAGCATTGAGCGCAAACAATTATAATTTTTTATTTAAAATATGAAATGCATATTAGTATTAAAAAATGCTTGCATTGGGAGAACAAATTGTTTTTCGGTCTATTTTTTTTTTGTTCATGTGTTTTTTTGCTGAAAAAATTAGTAAAAAATAAAAATTTTAAAATATTTTCCATGAAAAGCGGCTACTTTTTCCAAGCTCTCTGCTTATCTTCGAATACCATTTGTCCTCGCTCCAATTGTGGAACTATGCTCGGATTGCTTCGAAAGGCCCGAACCAGTGGTCTACCGAAAGATGTGGTAGTAGGAGGTAACAAAGACTGCCGTATATGCTAAAAGTGGTCTTCGTCAAAGAAGCCGACTCTAGGTGGCTGAATAAGACCGCTCTGGACAAAATTTGACGTGAAAAAATCACAACATTTTATTCTCCTAGACCGGTTTACCTTGAACACAATGCCAGGCATAGAAAGGGAAAAATATGCTATGACTCGTAATGATTTTTGCCGCAACTGTGAGGACGAAAAAAGAGAAAAAATCTATTGAACACTGTCCAGCGGTGACATCTGTAGTACATATGTTCCTCGGGAAACATTGCTTCGACTGCATCGTTGGGCTAGCTTCGCACTTTTGAAAAAGTTAAGCAGGAGTCTCACAGCGCTATAACAATGAGCCGATTGGGTTAAGTGAGTTGGTGACCGACCAACAGCCACATCAACTAAACCCAGCTCAAGACCTTTCGTTTCTGCATTTTCCGCGCAATGAATGGCTCAATCGCATTAGTTATAGCTGATAACGTTTTGCATCTTTGGTTTTGCCCGGTTTTAGCAGCTGTTTCTGTAACGAGTCATTAGGGGCGAGTGTGAAAAATGTAGATGTACCCACTATAAAGGTGCGGACCCGGCACCAAGTTACTGCCATTCGCTTCGGTCACTACAAAGCCCTCTTGATGAGGGTCGATCAAATATCTTTAGGCCAAGTTCTTTGCCAATAAATCGCAGTAGCCTTTTTCTTCTTCTTCATAGGCACCACTAATTAATTATACCTTAACGCTGATTCGATGTCCTGATCTTTCCTGATTTGCTGAACTATGTCAATGGCGCTGAATTCTCGTAAAGCTCATTGTTCCATCGGCTGCGGTACTCGCCGTACCTAACTCGTAACGGACCATAAATCTTGCGCAAAACATTTTTCTCGTAAACCCCTAACACCTGCTCATCAATTGCTGTCATAGTTCATGACCTGTTCGTTGAGAGAGAATTTTGCTCTTCCTATGCCTACTGAGTTCACAATAGCACCTGCTGACAGACTGACATTTTCGTTGGAGTTAATACTGGTTCCAGGATAGACGAAGTTATCTTTAACCTCGAAGTTATGACTGCTCGGCCGGCAATCCATAATCTCTATTGGAAACTTTGTTATTCTTATTTTTGAACTTCTTCGTAGTCGATATGACGCAACGGGACTGATGCCCAGATTATACTAGATTTATAGAAGGAAGACTTGCCCAGCCTGCTGAATAGCAACCGAAAAGGAGCTCAAAACTAAAACAATAGAATAAAAATTAATAAAAATGAAATTAAAATATTACAGCAGTGGGAAATTTATCTAATTTAATTTGAAAATTTGTCATTAAGCAAATGTATATCTGTGAAAAAATCACAAGTTCGAAATAAGTCCTAATGATTTAAGCAAATCTTTACGAAGATTAAATTTATCCAATCACTTTAAAATGCGCAAAAATTATCTTAATTGAGTACGAAAAGCCTTAAAGTATGCAATGCCTTCGGCCAAAAATCCTTACTGGCACCGAAACCACTTTCAATTATGCGCATTGCATAATTTATCTAAATCTTTTCATCATCATTTCTCTACAGCTGAGAGATGCCAACTGAAGTATGAGAGTTTGGGTCGGCCGGAAGGGAGTGAATGGAAAAGAGAGAAAGCAAAGCAGAGATGAGGGACAAAGTTGGGAGGGCAAAGTTGGCAGTAATAATAAATGGGATAAAGCTGAGAGTTAGCACAATTTTGAGTTTTTCCTAATGTAACCCTTTTTAGGTGGACGTTTTGTGTGATATACAATAATAAAGTTTAAATAAATGTTTGTGATGAGAGAATATATGTGTATAAGAAAATTATTGATTCATCTCCATTTTGATATTTTCATCTTTTCTTTAATTTGATTTTTTTTTCATACAGATACAGCTTTTTAATGCCAACCTCCTTTACCTTTTTTGTGTAAAAAATTTTTTATTTATAAAAATTTCATTTTCCCTTTTATTACAGGTATGAACATATATACTTTTATTTAATGTACGAAACATCGTATTACATGTGTACCGGGAAGTAAAAAAAAAAACATAAATAGGTAATAAAAAAATAAAAGTATTAAAAAATAAAACGAATATGCCACAAGCAGAAAAATAAAGGAAATAAGAAAAATGCGGAGGGGTATTGTACGAACGATAGACTGGCACCGGTGTTGACGGTAAGCGATCTAAAAATTCTATTTCCATATAACGGCAAATGAAAAAAAAACTGTAGAAAAATAAGATCGGCAAAACATATTACTTGCAGAGGTGTTGTACTTTTATATTTGGCAACCTACATAAATGTATTTACGAGTATACATTGTGTATATATATATATATACATTTATATATGTAGGTTGATTTAATGGTTTGTGCGATAAGCAAAAAGCACGTGTGGCCTCACTTCATTTCAGATGGCAGATAGTGTTCACACACACACACACACGCACACACATACACACGGGTACACATATGCGACTCCCATTTGCATTGGTAGCATCACAAATTTTATGTATGAAAAATTTATAATAAATTCAGACCATAATTCAAAGCATATGCACACATACGCATATGTATGTCTATGGAAAAATAATGCGACACAGAAATGAACAGTCAAGTTGAAAGAAGCACAAAAAGTTGCTCTAAACACAAGTAGTATAACGAAAAGTCTCTGTAAGGATTTAAATAATCAAAGAAAACGTGAACAGTAGACAAATGTATGCATTCTTGTCCTCTTAAAGAATAAATTTATTCTATATCTATATATATATATATATCCTACTGATTTTTTTATTTTGCTTTGCCTTGATTAAACTAATTTTTATTTTGACTTAATTTGTTCTATTTTATTGCTTTTCATTAATTTTATTTCTTTCTTTATAATTTGTGAATTTCCTTTACTATTTTAATATTATTTTATTTTGCTAACTTTATTTGATTCTTTTGTATTTAATTCCATTTTGTTTTATATTATTTAAACTGTTTTATGTTATAACATTTTTTGCAATAAAATAAAATAAAGCAAAGCAAATAAATATATATTTTGAATTCGATTTATTTTGTTTTTTCTGTTTTAATTTATATAATTTTTTTTTGTTTATTAATTTTATTTTATTTTCTTTTTTTTTGATGTTAAACTTTTTTTTGTAAATATTGAATTTATTTAATTTAATTATTAACTATTTTGTTTTATCTTTCATTATTTTAATTGTTTTATTATTATTATTTTATTTTATCTGAAGTTGTTATAGTTCGCTTTAAATTGTTTTATTATATGTTAGTATTATACCATATTATTATTTTCCTGTTATCTCGCAAAACAAAAAATATTTATTATGTTAAAAAATATTATTTAGTTTAAAATCATTTAATTCTATTAAGTTGAGCCTCCCCTTATTTTTGATCAAAAATTTGATTTTTTGTGCGAAAGAACTGAAAGTCATATTTTTTAAAAGTATGTGTTTAAAGATATTTTGCAATGTGGTGAATGTTTTTCAAATGGCAGCTTCTCGAACACACCTGTCTCACGCACGAACGCACGCAAGGCAAACTTTGAAAGCGTTTTTCTCTTAACCATGTTCTCCGATCTAACTTCAAGCCCAGCACCTGATCTTTTCGTCCGATTTCTATTATCTCAAAGCTGTTTCAAATTATATAGTTTTTTGCACTTCTTGAACCCCTTTAACCTAAGTTTAGCATTAATAATTAATTATTTATATTTTTTTAACTTAATTGAAGTAAAAAAAGGTAGCAAAAAATTTAACTTTATAATTGTAATGAGTATTTTGCAATAAATTAATCGTTAAAATTCTTTTAATTGAAGTTCAGGACGTAGAAAATTTCATGATCTGCTAGTAATGACAAGGATGTTTATTTCTATCTACTATAAGAGGCTGTAGATTCGGAGTTGCTGCGCCTTGTTTTTCGCGCAGAGGCTGACGAAATGCGCCATTTTGTAGCCGTCGTTTTGAATTTCGACTATTATTTTGTCGTTTTGAAACCTCAAATAATAAACTAATTTAATAGTCAAATTATTAGCTTGTTTTTGCCCAATATCAGGGTAACTAAATATTATTTTATATATTAAATTATGTTATGTGTTTTTATTTTATATTATTTAAATTAATTTTTTAAATTTGTTTAAATCTTTTTACTTTTTATTTATTTTATTTTGTTTTAATATAATTTGTTTTTGAACTCTTTATTATTTTACTTATTTCTTTTTTATATATTTATATATATTTTTTTGGTTTTCTAATTTAATTAATATTAATTTTAGATAGCTTACATTATCTTCCTTTATATTTTTGCCTAAGCTGTTTTTTTAATTTTGTTACAATTAATTTTTTTATTTGGTTGATTGCTTTAGTTTAATTTCATTTTGAGGCTAAAATTTACACTGCAACACCACTGTAGACTGCGGGAACAACAAAGCCCTGCTTGACATACTTATCTATGCCGCAGAAAGTAACCGTAAAGCAAGTGGTAGAGTAGTCAAGTAGATGGAGAGTAGGCGGAGGATATGTTGTTTTGGCTATAAAATGACATTTTAACCTGGTTTACATAAACCTTACATGATAAATGTGCGCCCATATGTACATGTATGATACATATGTAAAAACGGCAACGTAATGGCTCTTATGACTCAATAAAATTGAGCTACTACTTCAAAGTGTGGCTTACTTAAGGTGCAGCAAACATTTTCTCTCATATACGAGTAAGAAATTTATTGTTATTTGTTGGTTGCTGGTGGTGCGAGTGTTGCTGACCTGAAAATATGACGCTGGATGTATGTGCACACGTATATGTATTTGTTGGGGCGGTCAAATGTTTTAGATGAAATTCTGTATATATGTATATGTATATGTTTACATACATAAATTAATAATATAAGAAAAAGCTAAATCTACGATATATTGCTCCAAGCGTTCCACTTTCGACTTAATGTACTTTCAAAGAATGGCACACAACTACAAGCGCAGCATATTGGTAGGCGTAAAAGGCACTCATTGCTGACAAAACGAAAAATGATTGATATGTATGTATAGCGTTTTAAGTAGTTTTGGCTTTGCACTTAATGGACTTTGCTATTAAAGAGTGTTTGGTAATGTATTTTTTTTTGTTATTGAGCCATGAGTTGTGAGTCCTTAGAGTGCTACTAAGCACACTGACTTCACAGTGAAGTAAGGCATTAATGTGCCTGCAGTGTGCTAGAAACATGTTATTAGTATGTTTGCAGTTTTTTTTTGCAAAGAGAGCATGCCCTTTTGAAGATATATTGTTGTATACACATTTGCAGCGTATTTTCCTCGTTCGATTTTACCTGAATATCACATGCCAGCTTCACATATGTGTAGCCCACGTTTTTTCTATTGTTAAATGCAGAATTTCCCAATAAATGGTACTATTTTGATATTCAAAAAAAGATGGCATTTTTTGAGATAAATAGTGGAATGTTTATTTCTACGTTAAATGGAAGATATGCCATTAATGATGGAACAAATTTTAGCCTAACGGACAGTCTCGTTTTGCTTACAGAACCGTAGGGTTTTTAAGAAATCATAATAATAGCTTAACGAATTCCCTCTTTGACTCTTCCACGGGGATCCAAAGGAAGAAGTCTAATCTTCGAAAGGTAACACGGTCCGGAAACTTTTCCCTTTAAACACCGATAGTTTCGCTGCTTGCGTGGCACGTAGTGCTTTCTCGTTGAAAGTAAACGTTGTCCAGATCAATGCCATCCGACAGCGCAATCTTTTCACTGTAACTGAGGATGGGAAGACTTTTCAACAATACTTCTTTGGTTTTCTGAGCTCCAAATGTGGCAATTTTGCTTATTTACGTTGCCATCGAGATAGATATGGGCCTCATGAAATTCAGCAGTGACATCTACCGGAATAGTAGACTATTCAAAATAACACCTCTTATTGAAAAACCCTTTAATCCGTTTTATCGTTATTTGTTATTTAGTGAAAGTTCAGTTCAAGCCTAATTTGATTTAGATTAATTAGTTTTAGTTATTCTTACTGAATTTTTTAATTTCGTCTTGTTTTATTTATTTTTTTCTAATTTAAGATATCTCTAATTAATATAATTTAATTTATTTGTAATTAACTTTATTTTTATCATTTAAATTTATTTTATTTTCTTTTACTTTTTTTATTTTAATTTAATTTATTTCATTTTTGTTTTATTCTTTTTTGTTCCTTTTTATTTCATTCCTGGTTTTTTTGTTTATTATTTTATTTTATTTTAACTTCAATTTGTCTAAATTTATTTTAATTAAATTATATATTTCATTTATTTACTACTCCTCACATCGTTATCTCTATTCCTATAGCTTTCGGTTTTGCACTAACGGAGTATAGTAATTTTTTGCTTGAGTAAGCATGAAAAAAGAAAAGGTAAAAATAATAATATGGAAAAATGTCCGAATTTCGCCAGTAGCGAAGAATGAACTGAGTTTTTACTGTCGCCGCGGCAACGATGCCATGTTATGCATACATCCATCACCCTTCTTTGCTCCTCCTGGCATTGCAGTTGTAGGCGTGGCTGCCAGTAGTCGTCGTTGTTGTCATGCCAGCTTTGTTTAAACTTGCATATGCAAAACAGTCAGGGGAGATCTTACCTCGCCTCTTAACTTTTTAATCTTCGGTAGACAGAACAAATGCACGTGAGATGCCTGAGCCCGCTGAGGAATAAGCTGATATCAGCGATTTTCATTCCGGTCAGTGATATGCCTTCTTCCACATCACCTGCCCACTTTCTTTGAGTTTACGAATACTAAGAGCTCTAGGCTTGCGCAAACGCCTTCAAGTTGTTGTGCTCTGTCGAGTGTTCGTTTGCTATTTTTCCGCCGGCAATTACTTGAAATGCGTATGTTTTCCTTTCCGCTGCTGCTCTGCTGTTTATATCTTTCATGAAGATGAAATGGTTCATAGTATATATGTAAGAACTAGTCAGAGAAGAGCTAGACACCCCAAAATTTATACGGATATGATCAGAAAGATGATCTGAATTGATTTAACAGTATTCGTCTACCCGTCGGTCTGTCTGTTCG